CTTGCAGTAATTGCAAGCAGATGTTAATAATAGTGCTTTAGTCCACTGTACTACAGGCTCTTCACTTGGCCAATAAAGAATTCTATTCCATTCCATTCCACTCCACTCCACTCTATTCTATTTCAGAATAGAGCTGGAAGAGACCTTGGAAGTCTTCTAGTCCAACCCCCTGCTCAAGCAGGAGACCTTATACCATTTCAGACAAGTGGCTGTCCAGTCTCTTCTTAAAAACCTCCACCATTGAAGCACCCACAATTTCTGAAGACAAGTTGTTCCACTGGTTTATTGTCCTCACTATCAGGAAGTTTCTCCTTAAGTCCAGATTCCTTCTCTCCTTGATTAGTTTCCATCCATTGATTCTTGTCTTGCCTTCAGGTGCTTTGGTAAATAAACTGACTCCCCTCCTGTTTATGGCAACCTCTCAATTATAATTAACACTAAACATGAACATGAGGAGGATGCATCCCAAAACTAAAGTGACACAGTGTAAGTATTCACCAAACCTACTTTAACATTAAGAACTGAGTTTGCCAATTATTTGGTTTCATTTGCACAATACTTTCAACTACAAAGGATCCCAACAATTCCCATGTACACAACCGGAAAAAAATTCTGAAAAATGAACCACTGCAAGTGTCAGCCAGTTAAGCATGTTGTGTGAACAGAGTTTCTGAATGCAGAAAGAAATGCAAGATTGGAGATGCAGGATACACTACATTCTCTCTGGGTGCTACTGAGTCTTGGCCTAACCCAAGAATTTGCTTTGCTGCACATATCTGACAGATAAAGACCCAGTAAGTCAGAGATGGTTCTCTGCATCACCCATATCCTAAACTCTAAAGCAGGGGTCTCCAACCTTGGCAACTTTATGATTTGTGGACTTCAACTCCCAGAATTCCTCAGCCAGCACATGCTGGCTGTGCTGTAAAGCACTGTTTCTGCCGGCTGGGGAATTCTGGGAGTTGAAGTCCACACATCTTAAAGTTGTCAAGGTTGAGACACTCTAAAGCAGCATGTTTCTCAGTTGCTGGTAACCTGGGTGATGAATTGCACAAGTTGGAATTGTGTGTAAGGGGAAAGAGGCGGGCAAAGACACAAGGAGGGAGGGAAACCTTTGACCTCCGGTTACTAACACACTCCAAACTCCCATCTCTGGGAAAGCACCTGCATCTCTGATTCAAGGCAGCCTTTCAGCAATTTAAAATCTCAAAACAGCCCTCATTCACCCATTCTTCTCCAGCACTTGAAGTCTTTAAGTCAAGCTTCTTTTCCAGCTGCCACGATTCTTTGGAGCGGAGGGACCCTGTCCAAATGGCATGCTTTTACAGAACAGGAACAATCACAACTAGGGTTGCAAATGGTTGACTTTTGCAGTATGGAATGAATAGCTCCAATTCAGATTGTAAGAGGGAGCCAGAGAGAGAGAGAGAGAGAAAAGGGAGGGAGGGAGGGGGGAGTGAGTGAACGAGAGAGAGGGAGTGAATGAGAGAGAGAGAGAGAGGAAAGAGTGAATGAAAGAGAGGGAGGGGGAAGAGAGTGAGTGAATGAGAGAGAGAGGAGAGGAGAAGAGAGTGAATGAGAGAAAGGGAGGGAGGGGGAAGAGAGTGAGTGAATGAGAGAGAGAGAGAGAGAGAGAGAGAGGAAGAGAGTGAATGAGAGAGAGAAAGAGAGGGAGGGGGAGAGAGTGACCAAGAGAGGGGAAGAGAGTGAGTGAGAGAGTGAATGAGTGTGTGTGTGTGGGGGGGAAGAGTGAATGAGAGAGAGGGAAGAGGGGAAAAGAGTGAGTGAGTGAATGAGTGTGTGTGAGGGGGGGAGAGTGAATGAGAGAGAGGGAGGGGGAGAGGGAGTGAATGAGAGAGAGAGAGAGGAAGAGAGTGAATGAGGGAGAGAAAGAGAGGGAGGGGGAGTGACTGAGAAAGGGGAAGAGAGTGAGTGAGTGAATGAGTGTGTGTGAGGGGGGAGAGAATGAATGAGAGAGGGAGGGGAGAGAGTGACCGAGGGGAAAAGAGTGAATGAGAGAGTGAATGAGTGAGTGTGTGTGTGTGAGAGAGAGGGGGGGAGTGAATGAGAGACAGAGAGAGAGAAAGAGAGGAAGGGAGGGGGGAGGAGAGTGAGAGAGGGAAAGAGTGAATGAGTGTGTGGGGGAGTGAATGAGAGAGAGAAAGAGAGGGAGGGGGGAGAGAGTGAGCGAGAGAGGGAAAGAATGAATGAGTGAGAGAGGGGAAGAGAGTGAATGAGAAAAAGAGAGAGAAATGAGATGGGACGTCTGAGCCCTGCTGAAAACTCAGTCCATTGGCTCAAGAGTTGCCAGCAAGATTGCACAGAGGGCAGTGTGTGTGTGTGTGTGTGTGTGTGTGTGTGTGAAAAGAGTCAAGATGGCAACCTCAACCTTAGAATGAAAACCCTGCCTCTTTTTTCTTTTTGGCGTGCAGGTTGCCCCCTTGAATCCTTCTGACCCCGGGGCGAGCCCCCTCCCCACCCCCCAAACGACATCCCACCCCCCTCATTTGTTTTGCTTTGAAGAGTCCTTGTGTGCAGAATGGGTAAGGGGGAAAAAAAGCAAGGAGCGGGCGGGATCTCGGCTTCCTCTCCTCAAGATGCTTTTCAAAGAGGGGCGATTTCAGCCGCTCTGCTCCGAACAGGCCCCGAAGCATCTCAGGAAGCTGCTGCTGCTGGCGGCGCCCGATGGGGGCTCTCCCCGCTTTCCCGAGCCTTCGCCCCTTTGCAAGCTCCAAAACGCCGCCGCCGTCGATCTCCTCCTAGCCCCGTTGTTCTCTCGCGCTGCCTTCCCTTAAGACCGCCTATCGCGCATGCTCCATCCGTAGAGCAGCTTCTCACACACACATTCTCTCTCTCTCTTTTCCTCCTCATCCTCCTCTCTCTCCCCCCCCTCCTCCGCCCCCCGCCTGGCTCCATCCGGGCACTTCCAAATTAGCATCGACAGCCGCGGCACAACTTTTTTTCTTTCCTGAGGGCAAAGTGAAATCAAGGCGCGCACTCGGAGAAAAATATAGTCCCTGCCGTTTAGTCTTCTGGGTCTGCCACCGGGGGGGGGGGGCCGGGGGGGGGGGGGGCCCCCCCCCCGAGAAGCCGGGGGGGGGGGGGCCCCCCCGGGATCCTTGGCCAAGCGGGGTGGGTGGCGGAGCCGGGAAAGGGGTGTGAGGGCGGGCGGCCCGGGACTTACACCCCCCCACTCCCACCCACTTTGGCGGAAAGTGAGTGATTTGTCTGTGCCCCCTCGCCAAGAGGCAAAAGAACTTGCTCTTGGCTGCTGAGTTGCCGTTTCTTTGGATTGTTGGGGGTGGCTATTTTTTTTTTCTCCCCCTTGTTTTGGCACACAAGAAGAAGGGGGGGGGGAATTGGGGGTTTTGGGGGGGGGGGTTAGGGGGGGGGGGGGGGGGGGGAGAGAGAGAGAGAGAGAGATAGAGAGAGAGAGAGAGAGAGACCAAGCTCCCTCCCCAAACTTCCTCAGGCTTCGAGAGGGGGAGGACCCAAAAAAAATAATAATTAAATAAATAAATACATTTTTTTTAATAAAAAAAAAAGTGCCTCTCAACTTGCAAAGGATGGAGATGCCCGGTTTGCAAGAGGCGTTAAAAGTGGAAATCCAGGGCCGCCAGCAGGTAAAAAAAAAACAAGAACGAGCCAAGCGGGGACTGGAGCACCCCCGATCCTTTGGGCGCCCGAAGGCAGCCCAGGGCACGGGCAGGATCCTCCGGCCCTGCCGCTTTCCCGGGGAGCTCTGGATCCCCGCCGCAGGTTGAATCGATCGGAGGGTGGAGGAGGAGGAAGAGGAGGAGGGCAGAGTCCGGCTCCTGAAGCGAAGGGGAAAGGCATGGCGGGGCGGGGAAGAGACCCTCCCGCTTCTCTCCTCTCTCGACTCGCCGCCCGGAGCACTTCGGCGAAGTACTTTTACGGATTGTTTGGCTGACTTTCGGCGTGGGAATCTGCGTGGCTTCGATCCGGAGTCACCCTTGCGGTTGATCCTTGTACGTACGTGTGTGTGTGTGTGTGTGCGCGCGCGCGCGTGTGAATGTGTATGTGTAGACGTCCGTCCGTCCGTGTGTGAGTGTGTGTGTGTGTGTGTTGGAGAGATTAGGACGAGACTTGAATATTTATGAGCTTTGCTTGAAACTGACTCGCTGTGTTTACTTGCCTCTTTGTTCCACACCCCTCCCTTCCCGTCCTACACACACACACACACACACAAGAACACACACGCACATTTTTTTTTTTATAAAAAAAAATCCATTACACCCCTAAGACTTTTAATTCATTCTTTTTCGGGGTACTTTCCCCCCTCTTTAAACAGAAACTAGTTGCACAGATGAAGCAAAATCCACAGGTAAATGCAGATGGCTGTATTTTTTTTCCTTCCTTTTTTTTTAAAAAAAATGATAAAAAGAAGAGTTCCCGGTTCCACCGGATTTTAGCTGTGTTGCAATAAGTGCTCTGACCTCAGGAGGAGAAACTTTATCAATAGGAGAGATCCCTTTGAAGTCCGGGCTGATCTTTGTTACTTTATCTCCATCTCTCTCTCTCTCTCTCTCTCTCTTCATTGTGCCTGGGTTTTTTTTTCCTTGCTCTTTCGCTGGGAGCCATTCCTAGACACAAGTTTACTTTTAACTAGCTTTAGTTTGCACTTGGTTTTTAATCTGCATTTTATTGCCATTTTTACAGAACGGGGATCTTAAGAAACAAATCCAAGAGAGGCAATCGAGAATAGCAGCTCTTAATGAAAAACAAGTAAGAACGAATCAATTCGGTTCTGTTTCTCTGCACTGAGCTTCTTCTGTTTTTTTTTTTCTCTCTTCCTGGCTTCCCTTCTTTTCTTCTTTTTCCTCCTGCTATTAATAGTACCACTTTCTAAACATCTGAAAAGTCCGCGTTGTTGGCTGAGAAATACCTCCATGTGAATAAAACACTCGGGTGTTTATTATTATTATTATTGTTGTTTTGTTTTGTTTTTGTTTCTTGATTTGTTTCTCGGAGTGTTTGTGTGTTTTAACTTTAGGTTGGCTAAAGTGAGAAACGATTTAAAAGGTCGGGATTTATTTTGCTTTGCTTTGCCTTGAAATGCCTTTATATGGATTATTCATGATAAGAGAAAAAGAAGGAAGCTGTGGTTGGAACCGTTTTATTTTAACACTCACTCTCGCTCTCGTACACACACACACTCTCTCTCTCTCTCACACTCTCACACACACTCACTCACACACAGGCGTCCATTTTGAGTTGGTCGACATGTTTTAGGAATATGGAAAATTCTTGGGTCTTGGATTAGTTTGTGTCGACTTCCTTCCAACGTGGAATAACTCAGAGTTGGGAATCGGGAGGCTGAGACCAGCCCCCTTGGAACCTCTGCAGATCCGGATTAGGTCGGAAATGTTTATTTTGTTGGTATGTGCTGTGTATATTTCTCTCTCCCGCCCCAACGGTCCGTCCATACACTTGCTGTTTTCCCCCCGCTTTCTTTCTTCCCCTTGATGATCTGATGCATTGGCTTTCTGAGGGTGCTTTTGCTTGAACCTCCTTCCCCCCCCCCACCCTCCCTCCCTGCACCTAGTTAGGCAAATCTGAGCAGGAAAGCGAAGCGATGCCCAAAGCAAACCTGGTTTGCTCTTCCCCACCCTTCTTCAAACAAACTTTCTTTGTGTGCATGCCTGAGTGTGTGTGTGTGGATGTGGATGTCTCTCTCTGTGTGTGTGTGTGTGTGTGTTATGCGCGCGCGCGCGCCCGTGTGTGTGATCTTTGTCAGCACGTCTCCTGCTATTGCGGTGAATGACCCTGATATGCAATGACTGGCTCGGAGGCTGCTACTTCTTTTTCCCCCCACCCACCCACGCGCCCCCCACCCCGATCCCCCTTGCCCGCCACCTTCCCCCGCGGCTTTCCCAGCTGAAAAGAAAGTTGGTCGGCGGGGATGAGTTGCTCGCATCTTACAGAGGTGGGGGGGGGGGAGCTCGGATGGCTTGGGGTTTTCAGCACCACGAACAGATGCCCAGGAACGCTCCGCGGCTCCGCCAGCAGCCCGCTTTCCCCCCCCCCTCGCCGCCGCCGCACTCCTCAGCCCCCTTCCCTTCCTTTCCTTTCCCTTCCCCCTTCCGCCTTCCGCCACTCTCGAGCCTCCCCGTGCAGAAACCGACAGCGGCGGCTTAAACCGACGAGCCTGCGATCTGCCGGATTATGCATTCCCCCGCCCCTCCCCATCCCATCCCATCCCACCCCTCCCCGCCTCGACAAGCCAACTTTCCCCGGGGCTGTCTCCCCTCTTGCCCAGATCTCCCCTCCCCTCTCCGACCCCCCCCCTCATCCATCCCTCCCTCCTTCCTCGTCCTCTGGCGGAATCGATGCCGCGATTCCTTTCGGAATGCTGCCGACGGTTTCAGCACCAAAACTTGGAACAGCGCCTCGTCTTTTCTTTTTCTTCCTTTCCGGGGAGGAAAAAAAATTGGGGGGTGGGGTGGGGTGGAGGGAAGAGAAGCGGGGAGGGTGGGAGGGAGGGAATGAATATATATATATATATATATTAAAAAATTAAAAAAATTCCGGGATCGACTTTCGTGCCATGCTCGCCTTCCCAAGGGGAGAGGGGAGAGATCGGGGAAAGGGAAAGGAAAGGAAAATTAGGGGGGGGGGGGGGGGGGAGAGAAATCGATCTAGGTCGTATGTTTCGTACGATAAAAGATCTGTGTTATAAAAGACGTGCATTGGTTTTTATGTGATGGCAAGGGTATGTGTCTGTATTCCTCCCTCTTAGCTGGAAAGCATGCGGAAGTGTTTGGAAGCGTTTCCCTGCAGGATGAATGCTTTCAGTTCCCGGGATTAGAAATCTCAGCATTTCCACTATTCTCCTCCTCCTCCTCCTCCTCCCCCTCCTCCTCCTCCTCCTCCCCCCCTCCCCGCAACCCTGATTGATCCTCGCCCAGAATTTGCCACCGCTCTCAGTTTGTAGTGGAAGCTTCCATTTTGTGACAAAGGGGGTGTTGGTTTCTTCCTAACATGGAGAAAAAGTCTGCAGAGTTTTAACGCGGGGGGGGGGCGGGAGGAGGAGAAGAGGAGGAGGAGGGGCTGGTGTGGCCCATTCATGCTAAGCATTACCATTTTGATTGCTTTGATGCCATTTTGGAGGGGTGGGGGTGGGGAGAGGAGACCCCTGTCAGCAGAGCACAAAGATAAACAAAGATATTTGATCAAACCGGATAGTTTCTTTTATTGGGGGTGGGTGGGTGGAGGGAATGGTAGAAAACAAGACTGTAGCTTAGAGCTATTAGTTCTCTTTCTAGCAGGAGGAAACAACGTGTTGTATTGATTCTGCACTGAGCCAAGGATTTATTTAAAACAAGGCAACAGCCTTATACTGCAAACAATGCATGTTAATGTTTCCCCCCCCCCTTTGATAAGGAACGAGTTTGGCTTCCTTAAACAGGACACATATATTGGATTGCGCTTCTCTGTATGATTGCGATGGTTTCAAAGCAATTTACATTTTTTTTTTTTTTTTTTTTTGGTGATGCCGATAGTCAAAAAGAAGCAATTTTTACACGCTGTGCTGGAATTTAGATAAAGCAAAGAACTCATAGCTGGAAAAGAGAACTTGATGCAAGCTTTGAAAGTGGAATGGACATTTTTAGCATGGTGAAACACTTCCTGGACTAAACAGTAAATTATGGCTCTCTGCCACGCACATTACTCAGTGAACAATTATGGAACAAACAACCACTACTCGGGTTAAAAAGTGTGGGATATTAGCCTCTGCCTGCTTTATCGCCAGTGGTGAAAGACTAGATAAGTCTTGAGTATTTTCACATTTCCAAGTCAGGAAGCAAGACTATCCCAGGGACAGGGGCTGTCAGTTTTAAGGCTGAAGATGTTGAGACGATTGTTATTTTTCTTTGAGGAAAGATAAAAAAAGCATCTTTCCATCTATGGTCTTCCTGAAAGAGGATGCTTCATCTGAGCTCTGTGCTGGTGTTGAATGAATGTGTTGAATGAGTGAAGATTGTGAATATGGAAATGTTCTGGAGGCATTCTGAAACCCAAGGAGGTTGAAATTGCTTTTATTTGCTCCAATCTCCCTGACATTGTTTTTCCAAATATTAAAAAAAAAAAAAAACATCATAAATGGGCTCTTGATAATCTGGGGGAGTGGCATAGAATTTTTTTTAAAAAAATAAAATAAGCAAAAATAAAATGTCTAACTCTTGCAAAGTTCTGCAGGAAATTAGGTGCCTTTACCTTATTCCACTGGACTGTCAGCACATACCTAGCGTAAAATTTCTCAACCTCAGCAATGTCAAGATATGAGGACTGCAACTCCCAGAATTCTCCCGCCACTCATGCCGGCTGGGGAATTCTGGGAGTTGAAGTCCACCCATCTTTAAGTTACTGAGGTTGAGAAACCCTGGACTAATGGTTGAATGCTCAATGCTTCAAAAAACATCATGACCGTAGTAATTCCTTCGCCAAGAATTTATATCAATTTTTTTTTTGAAAAAAAGCCTCAAAATGGATCAAGAGATTTCAATGTTTTTTTTCCCCTCTGTCTTCTGAATGACCCACCATCTGACTTCCTTGGTTAACCCTAGGTTCTAACATTTCTCCACATTATTTTTTTTTTTTTAATAAATTATGGGCAATTTCCTCTAATTCTCACTTTCCCTCAAATTAAAAATCTTCAGATTGTCCTCTTTATTCCAACCTACCAGTAATTTGGGATGATCCTACGAAGGCTCAAGTGTATGAAATGTATTGAACTACCTGTAACTGCCTGATTATTGCTGTTTTGAAAGTAAAGTTTGTGAGACATGTCATGTATTTTTCTTACCTACCTAGCCAGGAGGCTCATTCCTTTGAAATATGTCTATATAGGATCTAGAAGTCACTTCTTGAAACTCCCACCTGTCTTCATGCCTTTCTCCCTTGTTTTCTGAGAACCCAGCTGAGACAGTGATAACTCTTCCATCTTATGGTGCCGAGCTGAATATATTTTGGCCAGCTAAGCATCTATTTATAATAATTTTTGCTTAAATGTGCAACTGCCATATTTGCTTCTGATACATCAAAAGCATATTTTATTATTATCTGTTCACAACAATGTGAAGTCACAGCTGCCAGTTCTTTAGCTGGTATAGGCCTTAATATGCATCACATTCTTCCCAAGGACATAGGATGTGATATTGTTTCAGCGTGGTATATGTAGAAACCTAAGCAGTGCGGCCTTTTGCATTTGACAGATGGAAATTTTGTCAATGCACAGATTTTTTAAGTGCCGTCCAAGATTTTTCAGTATGGCACCCAGTGTGCAAATAATCCTTGGTACCATCTTGGCCAATATATGTCAAGCTTTCGGCTTCTATTTTCAGATCTTGAGACTCAACTGGAAAATAAGTCCTAGCATGATTTTTCAGGATGCTCGTAATAGAAGGCCTACCCTCAAAATAAGCCCCAGTTAAGATTGTCAGCCAGATGGATGCATTTAGTACCATATTTTCCCCAAAATAAGACCTAACTATAAAATAAGCCCTAATGCATCTTTTGGAACAAAAATTAATATAAGACCCGGTCTTATCTTCGTGGAAACACAGTATTTTGTGATCGTCTCCATTTGCTGTCTTCTATTCTACTATCTCCTGGTATTTCGACATCAGATATCTTCACTTTCTTCTTTTCAACCACAGTTATTATTTATTAAATTTATATGCTGCCGCCCATCTTAATATTTTAATATTAATATTTTAACCTGCTCATTTTTGACTACTTTTTCAATTATTTTGTTCCTAATTATGAATGACTAATTTGTCATTATCTCCTCCCTCACAACAATGGTGTGTTGTGGCTATCCATGGGGGGTGGGAATGATAATGTGTGGGTAATCTACATTTAGATTCACAGTCTGGTGATAATTTAATAAGTCAAATCCTAATCAAGGACCTAAGAATTATTAAGATAGTATCAAAGAATATAGGCAGTTCTAGCAAGGTAAGTTTTTCATAAAATTAGGGTGTTCAAATCTAATAAATTCAATATTTCCAAATATCAAGGAATTCCGTTAGGTATCAATTATGATTGGTATAACAATGGATTTCTTTTTTCATAAGTGATCAGTTTCAATCCACAAGTTCCAGTATTTCATAATTTTTCCCAATTGTTTTTCCTCAAGCCTAGCATCTCCTAAAATAGCTAAATCAATGAACCAGACTTTCTTCTTTTCAATAACTGTTATATCTGGCATGTTATGAACAAGAGGCCTATCTGTTTGGATCTTTAGTTCCCATAAGATCTTAACTCACTCAGTTTCCCAAACCTTCTCAATTTGATGGTCCCAGTAGTTTTTACTACATTCAGATCCAAACCTCTGGCAAAGTTTCTGATGAATAATTCTGACAACTCATGATGCT